GACTGGTTGAAAAATTAGATAATGAAGGGCAGATAAATAAGACCATGAGAAGTGTGGACGAGCGAGCCCCACGGCTCAGATCTCTTTTCTCACTGAAGATCTGCGAGTGTTTGATGAATAAGGACCCAGAGCACGTCACCTGCTCATCTTTGCTAGGTGCTCTTCTGAAGCAACGGGAGTTTGATGTGACAGCCAGAGGAGAAATTGCTGCCTCAGGAAAGGCTTTGCCTTTGACTGATGGTTGAATGGCTGGCAAATTAATTTTGGCACCTTTCCCTAAGTCATTTTGGTCCCATTCTTTGACTTTTCTGCTGGGAAGTGTGTATTCACATTACAGTTAAAAATATTTCGACAACACAAATGTGGAGAACAGCATGTACTATTTTAGGCAAGAAGTTGTAGGCTGGGATGGTTCCATTTTATAGAATAGAAATGATGCCGTCGTGCTCTGAGAGGAGGTCTGAGCTCTCCTTTCAGCTCGACTTAAAATCAGTATTAGGGGCTTCCCTGGTGGCGCAGTGGTTGAGAGTCCGCCTGCCGATGAAGGGGACACGGGTTCGTGCCCCGGTCCAGGAGGATCCCGCATGCCGCGGGGCGGCTGGGCCCGTGAGCCACGGCCGCTGAGCCTGCGCTTCCGGAGCCTGTGCTCCGCAACGGGAGAGGCCACAACAGTGAGAGGCCCGCGTACCGCAAAAAAAAAAAAAAAAAAATCAGTATTACTTCTCACTGACTTCTCACAGAGTCAGGGGCTCCAGGGTCTAAGATCTTACGTTCTTGAGGAGCTTTTCCTCTTAGGTGCTTATATTCCGCAAACCCTCCAAGCCCCCCAAAATCCTAGCACCACTGTTCTCTATATATTTACCCTGTCAATCTCTAGCAAGAGATAATATGGTGGGTGGTCAACAGTATGAACTCTGAATCCTGTTTGTACCACTCATTGGCTTTGTAACCTTTAGTGGGTTACTTAACCTCTCTGTGCCTCTGTTAAAGGGGACTTATAATGACAGTAACTCATTCTGCCGTCTCTAGGTCTCTTTGTTCACTGTCAGGTGTTTTAAACTCAACATATTGTATTTTATACTAAATTTTCCTTCCCTAAGAATGTATTTGATTATGGCTAACAAAACTAAAAGGAATGTGCATTTTGCTTCTGCTTTTTTCAAAATAAGTGAAAGGTGCCATGCTTGAGGCTTAGAAAGGTAAACTTTGATGAGAAGGGGTAATTGAAGCCCTTGCCTCGGGATGAAGATTGAGGTTCTGTTGTCTGAGTTCGTGACACATTACAGTGTCTTAAGGCTGGCTGTTCTATCCCTGACTCTCCTGATGTGATAACCTGTTCCTGTCATTGTTCTGCCACAACTTGTCATTCTTGCCCTTAAGGATTAAAGGGTGTAAGTGTTAATTATAATTACTGATTCTCCTTATAGTATACGTATTGGTTTTTTAAAAAAAATTTACTTGTGGTAAAATACATATAACAAAATTTACCATTTTACCATTTAAATCATTTTCAGTAACTTTGTGTGTGTGTGTGTGTGTGTGTGTGTGTGTGAACATTTATCAGAACCTGAAAAATTTGTTAACTTATCAATAGGGAAATTGTGTTAAAGATGTAGAAATCTTAAAGGGTTATAACAATGAGTTTAAACTCCTCAGCTTTTAGACAGTCCATTCAGTACTTCTGCATCTCGCATTATACATACCATCTGAGCATCTACCATCTGAGCATCAGCATATGTCTGTGGAAGAGGCATTTTGCTTTCCAGAAAAGTTCTGTTCATTTTTTTTTTTTTCCAGTTTTTTGACTTTTAGTCCTCAAGCATTTCAGATCAGCCACAAACTTTCAGGAAAAGAAATGTGGAAAAAAATCAGCAAAACTCAGATATATATCGTCAGGTATATCTTAGACAGGTATATCTGATGCTTTTTCTGGCAAAGAGAAAAACAGGGAAAATAAATACCAGTTTAAATAAAATTCAGTCACTAGAATGGCTCATAAGACACAGAATATGCTAAAAAATATTTGCTGAATTAATGAATCAGTGAACAATTTATGCTAAGTTCAAAAGAAACACGAATATAATACTTGTATCCTAAAAAGAATTTATTTCTACTTAAAAAGTTTAGTGATGAACCTACAATAAAATTTGGTCTCAAGAGTAGTTCCATTAGGACATAGAGGCATGAAAATAATGACCATAACTAAAAGAACCGAATTAAAATCATATTAATTGAGGAATAGCACTAACAATCAATAATAATTGAGATAAAGCTTCATATTTTCATTATTTTTGAAAGCCAAGTGGAATATTTAAATTAGCAACGTAAGCAACATATTATAAAAGGAATGTTCCTGCTAAAAGAACAGGCTGAATTCTTCTACTTCAAGAAAACTACTTGCCCAGAAAACTCAACTGTGAGGATTTATAATTGGCAATCCCTCAGATACTATCCTATTTACCAATAAAAAATAATGATAACATGGTGCCCCAAATATTACATATTTCAAACTATTTACTAATGCAGACTAAGCTTTCTTCAAATTAGTTGGAATTAATAACCTTTGCCTATGAAGTCAAGAATATCTTTTATTTGAAAAAATAAGTTGAAATCTTATGAGTCGGGGAAATTAAAAAGTTTGTGCTTAGCTAAACACATAGCGGTTAATTTTTAAAATCATAAAGTTTAGCAGTAGAAAAGGTTGAGTGCTTTTGTTTTGAAAGACCCCACTCTGGGGAAGACTAATTTTTTAGATGAACAACCCATACCCAGCAGTATTGCATAGCACATGTCTAATGTGTGGTAGTAGGTTAGAAGCAGCACAAACTAATGAGGTTAACCCACATAATCTAATAACCCAGCCAGAACACAAAGCAGAGCATAGAAGCAGGGAGCATTCAGTTTATTTCTAAATTATTCCTAGCTTTTGTATTCCAGAACATCACCAAGTAGATGGTAGGTGTGCATTTCCCACTGTTTCCAAGTCTCTTTCATTTCCCCCAGTTAACTGACTGTTGGGTCATAAGCAAGATGCCTTTTTGTTTTTGGCTGTGTCTGGTCTTAGTTGCGGCATGCGGGTTCTCCATTGTGGCGTGTGGGCTTTTCTCTAGTTGCAGAGTGCGCGTTTTTTTTTTTCCCCCCTCTCTCTCTAGTTGTGGCACACGGGCTTCTCTCTAGTTATGGCATGCAGGTTTTCGCTCTCTAGTTGTGGCGCTCAGGACCCAGAGTGCGTTGGCTCTGTAGTTGTGGCATGAGGGCTCCAGAGTGCGTGGGCTCTATAGTTTGCAAAACCCAGGCTCTCTAGTTGAGGCGCGGGCTCAGTAGTTCTGGCGCGCGGGCTTAGATGCCCTGCAGCAGGTGGGATCTTAGTTTCCTGACCAGGGATCGAACTCGCGTCCCCCGCATTGGTAGGTGGATTCTTTACCACTGGACAACCGGGGAAGTCCCAAGATGCCTTTTAATTCAATACCAGCACAGGACATTATTAAGAGCCACTTCCAGTTGACTGGGAAGCTCCTTTTCATCCTCCCCCTTATCTAACCTCCAGTGGAAGTGAACTGGGGAGACAGCAGCTTACAGATACCCAAGGACCACACAGCCTGCCTGTCTTCCTACCTTGGGAATCCATGACATCCCCAGGCTCCCAGAGGGGCTCAGCGTTTTTGTTGTTTTCACTTTATACTTTTAAATAGCCGATTCTAAGGTAAACCTTTCCAGAAATACCTCGTGTGAAGAGGGCTGTTGGGAAAACCAGTTGAACTTGATTAATTACGACAAAAAAACAACAACAACAAAAAAAACCATTTTAATGACATTTTGGTTAAGACCTGTCTGAAACTACATTTTAAAAAAATTATTTTATTTATTTATTTTTTTAATTTATTTTTGGCTGCATTGGGTCTTTGTTGCTGTGCGTGGACTTTCTCTAGTTGCGGTGAGCAGGGGCTACTCTTCGTTTCAGTGCGTGGCCTTCTCGTTGCAGTGGCTTCTCTTGTTGCAGAGCACAGGCTCTAGGCACACAGGCTTCAGTAGTTGTGGCTCGCGGGCTCTAGAGTGCAGGCTCAGTAGTTGTGGCGCACGGGCTTAGTTGCTCCACGGCATGTGGGATCTTCCCGGACCAGGGCTCGAACCCGTGTCCCCTTCATTGGCAGGTGGATTCTTAACCATTGCGCCACCAGCGAAGTCCTACATTTTACTTTTTGTGATATTCAAGGTGGTGTTGGAAAAATCTACTTTTTCCCCAAAGTAGAAATAGATATGTCGTTTCATGTTTTATATATATATGCTCACTGCAAAAGCCTTCAGACAATACAGAAATCTATAGAGAAAAAGTGTCATTCTACATCTCAGAGATAACAACTGTTACTGTTTTGGTATAAAGCTTTCTAGATTTTTCTACGGCTTTACGAACACTCAGATAATTATAGGGTATTTAAAAATAGGATCAGACTATACACACTATTTAGTAATGTGCCTTTTAAGGTAATTTCTCTGTGAAAATATATACATTTTCATCATAATTTTTAATTGCTTCCCTGTATTCCATGGTATAAACCTACCATTTGTGGTTATTTCTAATTTCTTATTCTAAGAACAAGAAGGATGTTCTTGTCCATGTGTATGTGTATACTTATCTACTTGTTTCTTTGCTATGAATACTTAAAATGGAATTGTGTAAAAGAGTATGCACTTTTGTACATTTTGATAACAATTTAAAAATTGCTCCCCCAAATTTTTATCAATTGTGGATGAGTGCCCATGCCTCCACATGCTTGGGAGTCATACAGGTTTAGGAAGAAGTGGTGGTTTAGAGGGGACATCTGTCTAGTCTGTGAGTTTAGGGGCATGGAAGGCTTCACGTGGTGATGGGGTATGTTCCTGGTTGTTCAGGAAGGTCGCCATGACACAACCAGTGCATCCATTTGTTTGCCAGATGGGGTAACCCCACTTTCCTTTTACTGTCCTATCTTAAACCCTTCTCCTGTATTCTTCTCCCTCAGATTGAGGAAGACACGTGGCAGAAATACTACTTGGAAGGAGTCTCAAATGAAATGTACACAGAATATCTCTCCAGTGCCTTCGTGGGTCTGTCCTTCCCTACTGTTTGTGAGTAAGTGACCACGAACCATATGCTCTTTGGCTTTCAGAAACATTTAACGTGTCTCTTGAAGGAAATGCACCCCACCTGTGGCCAGCACAGTGGGGACACTCGACAATTACCAAGTGTCCTGTGCTCAGCCTTCTGTGATGAAGGGGAAGGTGGGTCATTATATGGCCCCTGCCTTGGGGATTTCTGCTGGCTCTCCTTTCCCTCCAGTCCTGAGAATCTCAGGCTTGGATTCATCATTTGACCTAAATTATGAACTGCAGTTTTCCTGCATATCTTGAATTATGCCCCTATGATGTAGACACATGTATGAAGGGTAGCATGAACCCATGCCTCTGATTTTACCAGGGCAAAACCAAATCTTGCTAGCACCTTGATGAAAGAAATTTTAATCTCTTTCAATTAAGTCAGATCATAAAGACATCAGAGAAGCCACTGTTCAAAGCGCTTTCACTATTTCCTGAGGCAGTGTGGAACCAAATGTACACAGAGAGGCCTTGAAATAGTCCTGAGTGGTTTAGCCCCGAGATGGACAACTGGCATGTTATAACAATAAAAAGACTTAGCATCTCCTTATACTGGCTCAGCAAGATGGATTTGAGCAAGGGGTAGCCCCAGCCTGCATGACCCCTCGAGGTAGAACAGGTGATCATTTAAGGGGTATGACGTCAGGAGCTCCAGGTGTCCCAGACCCCAAGAAACTTCCACCAGGACGATGCCTCAGATTCCCCACCTAGAAGCTCAGATGTTGGATGTAAGTCAAACAGGGGCTTTGTCCCTATAAAAACACAGACTCCCTGGGAATGCTGAAACATGAAGCCCTATACTTTGACACTGAGCAAAGAATTTGGTAAACTCAGTCTCATTGATAACAACTGGGAAGAAACAGGGGAACCTGGGAACCCACTGGGCTGAGGAGGAAGAGCTCTTCCCTTGTGCTGTCTACCTGCCTGCAAACCAAACCCACCTTCTGGAAAGGGCGTCCTGAAGAGGACAGTCCTGGGGGGCTCTTGGGTTCCTTTGTCTCATAGTTTGCTGTTCTGTGCACAGCAGAGAGGGGCCAGGGCACCTGGTAGCTTGGTGTTTACCTGTCAGTGACTTCTGTCAGTGAGCACAGCAGGTGCACCCTGCCTGTCCCTGGGCCCAGACCCTAAGCAATCCAAAATGGTTTGACTGTTTACTGAGATTTCTCACCCTGTCTCGAAGCGAAAGTTTAAACGCTAAATGGACTAGAAAAGGGCACAGGTAATTGATTCCGAAGGAGTTATTTTCCAAAAATGGATGCCCTATTGTAACTCCCATGTGTTCCTTTCTTTGAGATCTATTTCTCATTCTGCCATAGAAAGCAGTTAACCATTCCGAGGCACTGGGTCCTGGAACACTGAGGCTGTCCCAGGGGATTTTCTCTATCTTGGAGAGTGGCCTACCTAGGATTAAAAAGTCCGGGAGGATTCAGGACTTACATTAGAAGCTGGTCATATGAAAAGGCAATTGAGGCCTCTAGGTCTGATGTAGATGTGGCCTGAGCCCACAGCAGAACTGCCAACGCCTGGAGGAGTCCTGTGGCACCTCAGGCATTAGCAGTCGAGTATATGAAGTCCCCTTCCTTGTCTTTGAGTCTCCTGGGCTTGATTGGTGTCAACATGAGTGCTGCCTTGCAAATCCCTTAGTCTATGTCCCTCCCCCCCGACCCCCTTCCTGCTTTCCCACTGCTTCTCTTATTTTGCTTCTGGAAACTTAGTGAGTTCATTTTAAGAGTGTTAACCTGGAAAGTTAGAACTGCTCCCTCTAGAAGTTCCAGCTGGGATACCTGTGGGGTCAGTTTGACTCACGTATTTGTCCTACACAGTGTTTCATTTCTTAAAAGTTAGTCGCCAGTGTTTCAGAAAGGTGGTTCTTCACATAAAAACTAGATCCCTGGCCTCTTTTGAAAATCTGATGAACCAACACGGGACTTGCATTTCTACTGAATGCTGAGGGACTCCAGTTAGCTGTAAGGAGGGGTTTAGTGAAGGACCTCCCCTCCCTGATGTCTTAAACTGGCCAGATTTGCATTTACATCAGGGCCTGGCCCCCTCGATGTGTGAGTTTGCCAACTCTGACCTGTTGGGTGTGTGAAACTTCTCTGCCCTTTGGAGCCGGCTCAAGAGCTGGACACGAGTCTGTAAATATTTCCCTTGACTGATTTGCATGTTGACAACGTGTTCCGCGAAGGGGAAGATCCCTCAGACATACCTTTGTTGTCAGAGAATTTGGTGTTTCTTTGGTACAGCTTCTGGAGTACAAAAACAGAAAGGAAAATACCATCATGCAAAACTTCTGATGTGAGTGAGAATGTGTTCAACTGACTGCTGTTATTCGTTTAACACAATGATACAGCAGAGGTAGAAACAATCAATAAAGAAAGGACACTTAATGAGATTTAGGAACATCCCAAAACATTGAAGCTCTCCTCAAGCATTTGATTATCTGGAGGCTTAATTATCTGTGTTTTCTACTTTAAATTAAAGAAAAGCCATAACTCAGAGTTACCAGCAGTTTAATGATAACACTCTTCAATTCAGGTTAATTAAAGCACAGCCGTAATTAGAGTGTAGGGTTGTATATCACCAGGCTGGCGCATAAGTATTTTCATTACAGTAAGAATTGGCTATTCAATTTCAAGATGACATGAAGGACGCCAAAATATATTTTCAGCTGGTTCACGTAGGAGAAAAAGAGTTGGAGAATACTCTGGGTATAATAAAGCACTGATAAAATATACAGATTTTCAGAGCCGTCTCTGTAATTATGCACGGCATTAAAACAATATGCAGCCAATAACGTCTTGAAGCATGAAAAGAAATAAATTTGCTCTTCCCTTGGGCTGGCAGAGTGCCCCCTTGCAGGGTAGGATCACCACACCGAAAAGATTGGAGTTTTTTCAGAAGCTGGGAGAGTCATTCACTGAAAAGCTAAGGGGGCAGGATTAACGGGTGCAATCTGAGGTCGTTTCCCAAGAGGACAGATGTGGGAGGAGGAGAGAGAGAAGGGGCAAGAGGCCCCCAAGTTGAGCTTTTTAAGAATTTCGAGCAGAGAGACGCTTTCTCCGGCTCAGGTAAGACTTGCACCAGCTTCTCTGCACCAGCCTTTGGCCTTCTCGTGTGTATCACCAGAAGACGCAGCTTTGTTCCAAAAGCAATAACTAATTTAGACAAAATGCAGTATCATTTCTAAATATTTCACTTACATTTTCTCATTGAGTCCTCACAAAAATCCTGTGACGTTTATGTGAATATTACCATCCCTGGTTTATAAAGGAGGACACTGAGACTCAGAGGACATTGATGTCCCCTTCCAAAGCCACCTAGCAGACAAGTTACAGTACCAGGATTTCGATGCTGGGGCCTCATGCAGTTGGGAACAGCTTGGAGGATGTGGTAGATGAAGGCTGGCTAATTAAGAATCTCCTGGGGAGCTTATTAAACAGAGGATTCTAGGTTCCATCTCCAGATTTTAGTATCTGGGGTAGATGCCCCAAATCTGCATTTTTTTTTTGCAAGTGAGTGGGGGTGATTCTGATTCAGTCTGATGACTGGGGACGCCCAGCAACCCCATTCTCCACACCACAGGCTGGGATAACTTCTTATTCCAACTTCGGGCTCAGTCACTGGAATGTTTCTGATTTTTGCCAAATCATAGAATTGTAGGTGGGCCACGTCTTATGAGCTAATGTTAGGATTTGGGCCTTTGTGGGCACTTCCTCTCCATTGCTCCTTCCTCACGAAGGGTATTCTGCAGTCTCCATGGATATAGGAATGAGTCTGCCCTTTACCATGCCAGGCAAACTGCTGACTGCTCTCCCCACTCCCCACGCCTAATCCAAATCAGAATAGGAAAAAGACGTGGGGGTACTGAGCCCTTTAATGCTCTCATTCAGGTTTCCACTGGGGATCATGAAAGCAATTTCAGCGTGGGGAGAACAGTTAAGCACCAAATGCAGAGAAGGACAATTCAGGGTGCAACAAGCCAGATGCCTCTTGGCCTTGATGGACACCATAGTGGGTATGTCCTGGACCTTCCTCAGGATGCTCTTAGGGTGTTCCTTTTAAGTGCCAGCAACTCCTGAGCATCTCCCTTTGGTTTTGCATAGCTGGCTTGCCCCTGGTCTGTGTGGCAGTAAGATCAAGGCAAAGGGGCTATGGGATCTGAAAGAGAGGGTGCCACCCATTGTTCTCTGAACACCAGGAAACCACCCGCTTCCTTTTCCCTCCCACACCCCATCTTGCTCAGTAGCTGACTGTGGAAGGTGCAGATGGCCAGTGCCAGCCAAGCCTGCAGGAAGCCAGGGCTGGGGTATGAGGCTATGTTTTCCACGAAGGGGTCCTGTTTTTGAGTGGTTCAAGTAGTAGGATGCTGTGTGATGTCAGGTGGTGTGAGCTGTGGAGTCGCAAAGGTCTGGGGTCAAACCCACTTGCTGGATATGTGATTTGGGACAATATAGTTGATTTCTGCCTACCTTCTTCTTCTTTTTTTTCTTTTTTTTTTTTTTTTTTTTTTTTTTTTTTTTTTTTTTTTTTTTTTTTTTTTTTTTTGCGGTACGCAGGCCTCTCACCGCTGTGGCCTCTCCCGTTGCGGAGCACAGGCTCCAGACGCGCGGGCTCAGCGGCCATGGCTCACGGGCCCAGCCGCTCCGCGGCATGTGGGATCTTCCCGGACCGGGACACGAACCCGTGTCCCCCACACTGGCAGGCGGACTCTCAACCACCGTGCCACCAGGGTAGCCCCCTACCTCCTTCTTTTGATAGTTACCAGCTGCCTGACCTTGGGCTTAGTGCTCACCCAGGTTTCCTCATCTCTAAAATCGGAATGATAGAACTTGTCTCTCAGTACCAGCTAATGTCCTTTTCCCCTCCCCTGCCTATCCTCTTCCCACCACCCTTCTATTCTGCCCACTGAATATAATATAAACACCAAGAAAGAAAGAAATATATCATGACGTTTCCACGTTTTATTTACTCTTA